CCAACCCTGAACATTCTGTGATTCTGTGATCATCTAGTCCAACCATGTGCAGCAGCTCATGTGAGCAGCAGTCGCGGTGCCTCAGCTGTTGTGGGTGCTGGTGGTGCTGGCAACTCACCCCAGAAGAACACGCCGGTTGGGGGACCCTGTCCAAAAGGCCAGACAATGCATGAAAGGAGATGGTGTGCACCAGCACGAGTGATGGGAACCAAGTGCGCCCAAGTAGGACACTATTAAAACAACAGAAAAAGAAACAAGAAAACGAAACAACAAAAAACCCACACAGGATTTTGAGTCTGTGCTCAGGGGAACATGGCTGAGCCATCTGCCCTGCGAGCAGCAATTAAGAGCCCCAGCAGCCCCTGCCTTTCTGTCATCTTTGTAGGTTCAGTTCAAAATCTCACGCACGTGTGTGCACACACTCCCTGCCCCAGATTAAAAAAAAAGAGCAGTGTGACAGAGGCGAAGTGCTTGGTCGCTGAACAGGAATGGTCACCTGAAACCACATGAGAGCCAGAACATCCAGCTGGTAGAAGGTGCTTGTTCTTTGTTAACCACAGGTTGTTTCCTTCAGAGAAAGCCATGCTCCACGGAAAGTCACTGCTGGGTTTTTACAGTTGGTGCTCCACAGCCTCTGCTGCCCGTTCTGCTCTATCCAGCACATCTGAACATGCCTCTTCCTGAAGCTGTTGCTGGCCACATTCAAGGTGAGGCCAGAGCTCCTGCGCAACTGCCCCAGCTTTGCTCTCTCTGGGATATCCAGATCTGCTCAGTGCTACAGGTGCTCCAGGCCCCTGTTTGATCGGTAATGACTGACATAACGCTCATTTTCTTTGAACAAATCCTAATTGCCTACATCTCCACCAGTTACGGTGCTTGTCAATTCGGAGTCGACCCACTGACGGGACTTGGCCACAAGGCCTCTTCCACTGCAGCCCCACCCGGCATTAGACAGCCTTGTGTTCGCCTGCCCCGTGCCTTGATGCGAACTCCAAGAATAAACACCTCTAGCTCCACCCCCCCACAAGGGAGTATTTACCCATCGCAAATCCATTCTTTTTTCCAAGAAACAAATGGGGCATTGAAGCCATTTACCTTCCTCCTCAATTTCAGCTAAAAGTAAAATAGTAAAGGAAAGAATTGTAATTGAGATCTTTTTTAGTTCAGCAGAGCTGTTGCTAGAGCCAAACCGTACCGAACCACTGAGCAGTTCTTTCCCCTGGATCGCAGCGACAGAGGCTGCCGCACGTGCTCCCTAGGGGATTTCACTGCAGGGCTGAGCCTCACTAGTCACAAGAAATACCCGAGCTGCTGGGACAACAGGAACATTGCAAATTTCGTTATCCTCCTCACCATTCCCAAAATCTGAACCATGAAATCTCCCCTCCTCTGCTCCATCAACAGTAAAAGAAGTCTCCAAGGATGTAGAAGCAGGGACCTAAGCTAAGAAGAAGAATGTTTCCATGCCCTTCTCTGCTCTCCTTCCCAGGCCCGCCACGGCACCTCCTCACCTGGAAGCAGAAGCCTGGGCAGGGCTGGATGTGCAGCGGTGTCACTGAGCGAGCTCAGAGTTGCTGCCTCAGAAAGACAAATTCCTCCAGCGTCTCTGCAGGGACCAGCAGGCTGGAGACGTGCTCCTGGGGTGCGCACAGCACAGCACGAGGCTGCTGACTCTCAGCATCAGCCCAGGAGCCTCCGCACAGCAGCGCAGTCTTAGTGATCTGAGTGAGGTCAGGAAAGCGAGAAATGGGTCAGGGCGGTACAGCCTTCTGTAGCCAGTTGGGCTGTTAATGCTCAAGGCCAGCGACGCACCCGCAGAGCTGATCAGGGGACTACAAGCAGGGACTGGTGCCCACTGAAAGGATGAAACCGGGGCAACAGACAAGCTAGCAGCAGTCAGAAGGAAGGTGAAGGATGCGGAGCCTTTTTTTATCCTGTGGATGGAGACATGAGCCCAGGGCAGACGGCTGGCCAAGGTGGTCCAAGAAGCTCTGAAAGAACACACCAGAATAGCTAAAATCTCTTCTTATATCAGGGAAATGGTTGTTTTGCCTTTAGCTGTGAAGTCGCAATTCAGAAAAGCCTCTTTCCAGGACCTGTGTCCTGCAAGTGCCAAGGCAGTAGCTGGGAGGAGTTCGCACACGGTGTCAAGTAAAGCAAGGGGGATCTCCAAAATAAAAGGGAGCAGTTTTGCCCCTGACAGCACCCAATCTGAAAAACAAAGCTTATCATAGAACACAGCATTTGGGTTACTCTGTTGCAGAATTTCATATACAGTAAAAGTGTATTGAAGTGTCTAAGTAAGATGTTTCTCCTGTCATGTAACATTCTTTTATAACACACAGCATTTTTGATACTACAGAGGCCCAGGCACTCAGTAGTAATCGAGGTTTTAAAAATTAGAAGACCAGCATATAGTTTTGCTTTATTTCCCCATCCAAGAAACTCCAACTAATAAACAAAGCACATTTAACAGCTGCTTTACCAGCTCAAATATATTGAAAAAGTAATTACACACACAAAAATTTCACACAAGCATCTCAAAAGACAGTATCCAGTATATAAATGCCAGGTTTTACTGATTTTTTTTTTAAAAGAAATTGCCATGTTCTCCCAGTGTGTTTATCAGTAGCAGTGTACAGGTATATTAGAACTATAATCTGTGCAAAATGGAGTAACAGTCCCAGCTGGACGAAGGGAGCGATGGCTTTGAATTCTATGAAGAAGTTTTTCTGCCACAGGTTTGAACTCTGTTTGCCAATATAGTTTGTCGTAGTTCCTTAAATTTCTGCCAAGGCTGTAATCCAACACCAGCTCTTCATCTGTAACCAAGGAAAATATGGTGATCAGTTCTGAATAAAAATATACCCAACTATGTACTTCAGAACCACAGTACCTACATACAATGTTTGTATGCTGATGACTTAAAACCAATTCTATGTTTAAGAAAAAATAAGTATCACTGTCTGGAGGACTTAGATTTAATTGAAAATAAAAGGTGCTAAGGTCAGTAAACCAGCAAGAAAGGTATTCCAAGTTTTATTTTCACATCTCACAGGTACAGCTAAACTGTGTCTGCATGATCAGGCATTTACTGTGACTGTTGGCCTGGAAAATAGATGGATTTTAACTTTACCCACGGCAATTTTGCTATTCGAAGTCATCAATTCATCTTCATCTACCTACAATTATGTTTTTCCTGTCACATATTACTCTGCTAATGTGGTTCGAACTATACTATCATACTATACTATCAAGAACTTGAATCACACTAGTTACTTTATTCCTGATTGCCTCCCTCCCTCACAAACTTCCTAAGCCAAACAATAGGATATTCTTAATAGAGACAACGTTAGGAATGAAAGGAAGTCATCACAAGTTATTTCCCCTACATTTTGCCTGGCATTGGACATGGCAAAGAAATGAACCCTTACAGAGAAAAGCAATCAGTCTGCAACCAGAAGCAGGCTCCCGAATCAGGAATCTACAAATGCAACTGATAATGCCGTACAAGTGGTTTCACACAGTTTAAGAGAAGGATATTTGACAGCCTTTAGGCCAAAAATGGGCCTAAAATGCAGAGAGGATCCTGCACCCAGTGAGCAGTGTGGCTGAGCTTTGTCCTGTGTGACTACGAAAGAGCAACAGGTTCTCATTCAGTTAAACAAGTAACTCTGTGAGGGAGCTCACATCCACAGCAGGCAAAAAAACAACCAGGACCTGAAGACAAACGTGGCAACTTCAGTTACCTACATTTTGAGTTAAACTTTGTGTAGAAAAGAGATGCTCAAACAGCAACTACGCCCATTTAAAAGAACGCCGAGGTGGCTGCACAGAGCACGTGGCCTGAGCTGCAAGGAGGAGACGACATTACTTTTGCACGGAGATGGGCTCCGTTCCATCGGAAGTTACTGGTTACTGCAAACAATACTTAGGCTTTTACACCACTGCACTGTGTTGAAGTGACCAGAATTAAAGAGATGCTGATTGTGAGGTGGGTTCCAAAAGGGTCTGGGCCTAAAGAGAAGCCATTCAGAGGCTTTGTGTAATAAAGAGAAAAAACACAACCATTCTTTCAAGAAGGAAGACATGTCATATCTGTGCAGGAAGAAACCCTGCAATCAGAGATAAAAATCCAGCCTCAGACACCAGAAACTGTATTTGATGTTATCACAGGATAATTTAGGTTGTACAGGCACTCTGGAGAAGAGTCACCACAGATAAGGTTGCTCTCGTCCCTGTACTGCTGAGTACTGAACATCTCTGAGGGCAGAGACTCCACAGCCTTGCTAGGCAGCCTGTTCCAGTGCTTGAGTCCTGCCACAGTAGAAATTTCATTTCCTAATATTTAATTGGAATTTTATTTATTGCAATTTGTGACCATTAGCTCTTGTCATATCAGTGGCACAGTAGCTCAGCATATCTAAAATAAATCTCAGCAGCAGAGAAGGGAGAGACAGTGAAGAGGAAGATAAGGTGTTACGAGTTGTTTGCCCACTCCTGAAGTGATTCTTCTACCCATATTAACTATCTTCTAACACAGAGCAAGAGACATTTCTCCCTTTTATTAGACAGCTGTGTTCCCCAGAAGTTGACTGAATGTTTATGGATTCACTGAGGTTGGGAATTCCAGCCTACAAGAACAAGGGTCAAAAGCAGTTCAAAAGCTGAAGTGTTGAACCAAAACAGTAAATTTCCCAAAGCAGAACGTGAGTAACACTGGGGATCTGTGAGGATCAGTGTCCCACATGCAAGCTGTGCATCCTCAGATAATTTAATTTTCCCATGACCCTCCTCAAAACTAGCACAACTGGGTACTGGCCAAACAGCAGATGAACTGGCTGCAAGCCCAGGAGCCAGACAAGCACACTGGGTCTGCACACTGTGGGGGAAGCTGAAAACTAGAGCACAGACTCCAGTCTCCAAGAGCTACCCTTCCCTGTGACTCTGGCAAACACAGGGCCCCATAGCCCTGGAAGCCAGTTTCATGTCATGTACTGAGATTCCAAAATAACCTCCTCAAACTGATAGTGGAGGTAAAGGTAAGCAGAAGAAAAATCTGGAAAAAGAGAGCGAGAAAGGAGATTTTACTGAACGACCAAACCAACAAACTTCTCAAGACAGAAGCTCAGCTCCACTGCTGCTCCTGAGGGACTGGGGCAAGGCAGCGCTACTGGCAGGGGCCTGGAAACACCAGCCTCCAGAAGCTCTGAGCCAGTAAAGTGACAAGAAACTCAAGAGCAGCTGAAAGAAGGCAAATGACAGTGCCATTGGAGAGCAGTGCTGTTGGCATTTCAGGCTGCTGGGATCCGCCAGGGCCAAAGAAAAATAACTGGCGCCTTTTGTCCAGCCTTTCTTGGGCACAAGGTCTTCTCAGGCTATTTCCAATCCCTCTTGGCTCCCTCATATCTTTTGCCATCTTGTGCCAGGCAGGGGAAAGAAAAATAAAGGGGAGGAGGCCAAGCGCAGCAGGTGAAGCAAGGTGTCTGCTGCACCACACTCCACTTCTTCCCCTTCCTGAGGTTCGTGCTGATGCTTAAGCTCAGTCCACAGACTGTCAGCAGTCACCTCCTGCTTCCTGACCGATACAATCAGAGCAGGGACGGTTCAGGGCTGTTACTGGTTACAACAGGAGGAGGAAGATGCAGGACAATATGAGCCAGCTGCTGTTGCTAGAATTTGTTGGCTCTCAGCAGACAGAGAAACCTTGTCCAATGAAAAAGATGCACTTTTTCTACAGCTACTCTTCTGGCCACAGCGTGAAGGAAGACTCGCCTTCTGACTTACTTCTGACCTATTTCTAATTAATTGTCATTACAGTTGCATTACAATTGTGTTGTAACTGCACCTGTAATTGTACGTGAACTTCCACTTCACAAAAGCTGTACTAGTTAATGAGAGTTCCAACTACTACCCAGCCTGGACTCTGCAATCAATTGCTGGAATAAGCAGTGTTAAATGCAGAGGAAAAAACAAATAAGAATTATCTAAAACAATGATATACATTCCTTGCTGCATGCCACAAAATTAAAGCACGAGTGTGGCTGTAAAGTTTGCGGTTCTGTTGCAGAATGTTAAAAAGTGTACTAATGATCTCAAAACAGTGAGTATTTTCAAACGAATAGGTGGAATTACTACTCACATTAAGATATATTCCATCACAGTGAGGAATGTAACGCAAGGAATGATTACCACAACGAATAACTAATTCTGTTTTAACCAGAAAAAAACCTTCACAAGTCCCCCTACTTTTCTGGTTGTCTAAAAATCAAGAGAGACCACAGGGATGCCACTTTCTGCCTCAGTCTGACTAGCACGCAAGTAAGCTTCAATTAAAACCCAATCAAAATTAGTTAAGGTTTGTTTTAATTTCATTTACATTTTAAAGGTTTTTTTAAAAAGATAATTGCAAATGACCTACCCAAAACAGAATCACAACAAAAGGAGTGCTTATAAAATAAAGGAGGAAGACTACATAGAGTGACTACAGGACTATTACACAGCAATTAGTTCTTTTATCAAGGAAAAGAGACCAAGATTACGAATCTCACCCAAGAGTGATGGGAGCAGCACCAGCAACTTGTCGGTGTCTTCTCCAAAGCAGGTGGCCGCATTTGTGATGTTTTCACTGTAGTTCCACAGGGTTTTGCATATCAAACAAGCCAGCTGCCAGTCTGCTGGCCCAAAGTCTTGTAAACAGTCAACTAACCTGTAGGTATCAAACAAAACCAGTGGTCGTGAAGTGTACACAGACTCCATGGAAGTTTGCAGAAAAATTCTACTTTAACAAACTTAAGATGCTACTTCCTTCCTCAGAAACTTCTCCCTTTTCATTTAGTCTTTTTCCCTGATTTTTTTCCTTTTGTCAACATATATGTGCGTATGTCTGCCTGCATCCATCCATCCCCCCTAACTTTATAACGCAGCTGACCAATTTCAGTCGCATACATCACAGGCATAACCAACTCATAGACACTAAAATATCATCAAATTTCATGACGATCTGCGACTGTCCCAAATCCATGGCTACTGCGAGAGCACAGACTGCAACACAAGCCAAGCCCTATCAGGCACTGAGAATTCATCTGGAAAAGATGGTATGAACGCAGAAAGAGCTTCAGTCAGAATATCCAGCTTACTGCACTTCAGAGAATCTGACCAGAAGACAAACCCAAAGAAATTCACTGCTTCCATGACTCACAGAATTACATTTTATATTCAGTGAAGTCTGACTAGTTTGCAGATCTTGCCCCTTCTTGTATTTCCTCAGCCTGCACTCCCAATGGACTCCTCTCAGAAATGCCAGTTTTATTAGGTCCATTAGGTTCTTAACCTTTCTCTTAATCTCGCCTTCTCGCAGATACCAAATGCAGAATGTAAGCAGGGCTCTGAAATTAAGGTGTAACTTTGCTGCCTGCACCAGCTCATGTACAGAAGCTCTCCAGAGTTCCTGTTACTAAACAGCAGCGCTCACCAGTTCTGGGGCATCAGAAGTAAACGTTATTTTTCACCTGCTGTGCCTAGTGACCTCTCTAACAGTAATCCTTCACTGCTGTTCTCCTCCTCAACCCTATGACCCCCTCCTTCCCTCAGTTGTCTGCTTCACTGTGAGATTTCTAATCTGCTGATTAGTAAAGAGAACATGGGATATCATACCCAGGTACAGCTGAAAATAGCAGTAATTGAAAAGCTTTTTCTCTTCTCTCTGAAGGCAGTCATTGTGAAAGACTGGGAGGCATCTAATGAAAAGCCAAAAGACCTTGCCCCAATTTTTTGAAGTTTATCTCTCTGTTGAGGCTAATTCCATGTTTTATTAGGGCTACTACATATTGGTACAATAACCTCATTTCCAAAAATTCACAGAGCTGGTCTGGCACAGACAGGATGACCTCCTTAAAAATCACTTCCAAACGCTCTAGATTTATTCCATACTGTTACTGTTCTTCCTTCCTTCTTCACAGATTTTCAGAGTGTAGAAAATTCTATGTTCTATATGATTCTATATTCTATAGAATACACTACAGAATAGAAGAGCCTCATATTTATTATTCAGTTTGCCTGCATCTTAATTTTATTCTTCTTTTTCAGTTTTCTATTTTGTAAGCTAACTAGAACATGGGAAGGAAGGATGAGCAAACCATGCATTGCTTACCCTGTATAAAAAAGTAATTACACGACGTATGAACAGGAAAGCATTCCAAAGTTAGGCACATTGTTTCATAAATGCGGGTTGTATCAACTACTTTACAAGCACAGGAACACGATCTTTCATGTTGCTCCAATTAAGACAGAGCTGCTATTATCTGAACATCAAAGCCACAAGTGTTGCATCCATGACAGTTGTTCAAGATCTAGTAACACCACTTACAAGGCGAGTGCCTTAGACTTGAAGTCTCACAGAGCTACATCAGATAGTTCTCCCTACAGTACACAATAGTTACAAAAATCACCAGAGAACACGTGGGACGTCTTAGTTCCTGAAGTAATCTTCATACTTGCAACAGATACACACATTACTGGTGGCTGTTAACTGTAGCCCATGCAGGATCCAGTTAAATCAAGCAGCTCTGCAAAACCCTTAGTTGCTTTGTTGCATGATGCTCTCCTGTGCTATATATATCGGGACCTTGGGGGATTATTCTATAGGTTTTGGCTCCGAGGTAGGTTAAAACACTCTAATGCTTTTGCAAAAAACATATGAAAGAATATGAAAGACTCTCTCTTGAAGAACATTAGATGCTGAATATCTATTATGTACCCTTATTACAAGTCATTGGCCTCAGTAAAAATGAATCTGACTGAAACTCTTTGGCCAAAATACTCAAAATTGCCTTTTTGTAAGTGTAATCAGGAACTCACTTCCCAATCCCTCCTTCTTCCATCAGAAGAGCTCGTTTGTTCTTATCTATTGTGAGATTGAGCAGGACTCCACAGGCAGAAAAACAGATGTCTGGGTTCTTGGCATCAAGCAAGGTAATCATGAACTTGTATACTGGATTGTAAAGAAGGAAACAATATTATTACAAAGATGGATCTATGTACAACTGGCATTACAACATAATTAAACATGTATACTTATAAAGCAGTCAAATGCAGGATACACTACCCAAAAATGTAAACTTGTAGTGTATTACTGTGAACATCTCCCTTATGAGGAAAGGCTGAAGGAGCTGGGTCTCTTCAGTTTGGAGAAGAGGAGGCTGAGGGGTGACATCATTAATGCTTATAAGTATGTCAAGGGTGAGTGTCAGGAGGACGGAGCCAGGCTCTTTTCAGTGACGTCCAATGACATGACAAGGGGCAATGGGTACAAGCTGGAGCATAGGAGGTTCCACAAAAAC